AGTTCCGGTGTGATCCACCCACCACCGAAAGACCGCATGGTTTTCTAGAAAGACTGGGCATACTGAGAGCTCATCTTGTGGTGACTTTCACTGGTGAGGGTCAGATACTCAGCAGTCGCAGTAAATCATCCAAGTTGAGTGAGGGTCTTTACTCTCGGACCCACGCAGATCATCTGTCCTGTGACAACCACTCTTCCATTGTGCAGCCATGGTGTTGGGTGGAGGTGATCCCTAACGGAAGATGATGGTGTCAGCTAGCGGAATCATCTGACCCCACGGTTAATTACTGACTCTCATAGTAGACATATTCTCCAGTGGGAATGATCACATGTGCAAGCATTGTTACACTCTCCTTCACTCCAGTATCATCTTGCTTCTGCAGCTGGACCACATCTTCCTGCCCTTTCATTGTTGGAGATCACAGAGTCTCCATTGCCACCAAGGGCCTCCATCCTTACCAGCCTTGGCCTACAGAGGACGGCCACTGAGCCTCTTGACAATACCCTCTCGCCAGTGCACTCCTTCTCACTTTGACAGGTGGAGCATACTCCAGACCCTTCCCTAAGACACAGTCAGCCAACCAGGGGTTTATCACCCTATGTTGTATATCCTATGTAGCATGCTCACTTTTCTAAGGGTTTAAATCCTTCTTCTACCATCCGCAATTATTCTGGAGTTTCTGCTTCATATGATGTATGTCTCAGTCCAGTCAGACTATAATAAAAAGTACTATAGGCAGGATAGCTTTTATTAACAGCAGAAACCTATTCCTCATAGTTCTGGGGTTGGAAAATCAAGGATCCAGGAGTCGGCAGATTTGGTACCTGGTGAGGCCCCGCTTCCTGGCTCATAGATTGCATCTGCTCACTTTGTTCTAACCCAGTGGAAGGGCCAAGGCTGTTCTCTGGAGACTCTTCAATCCCATTCATGAAGACCCCACCCATGTCCTAATTACTTCCCAAAGGCGTCTCCTCCTAATGCCATCACACTGGTGATTAGCTTTCAACATAGGCATTTGGGACCACAAACATGCAAGCTGTAGCAATGTGGGACTTCACTTTCTCCAAATATTTAAGAGCTGTAAGCACAGCACATCAGTACCTACTCCTGGGGTCCTGGTCAGATGGTTAAAACTTGTGTCATGAATAGCTGTTTCCAAATTCAGTCTTATCATTCTTTCTTCTCTGACCCAGCACCGTCATAAGGTTGTATTCCAATGCTCTCCCACTTCCTGTTCGAATATGTGAGGTTCACACATATTGAGAGAATTAGATCTTCCCATCTGGTCCAGTCCAGGGAAAGCCCCAGAATTCTGCTTGCTCCAGGTGAGTCCTTCCTTCCCCACCCTGGTCCCTCCTGCTGGCCTCCCACATCCAAGCAGCACTGTCAACCTTGCTGCTCCTCTGTCCTTTGACAGACTCATCTCATCTTGCCCAGAACTGCCCAGTCCCATGTGTCTGCTTCCCCCATGTCCTGTTTTATTTTATTCTCACCAGCTGAGATAATGTGCACTCTATTATTTGTTTGACCATATTTTCCCAATTAATATATAAAGACTTATTTAGTTATTTGACAAAGAAAGAGGAAGAAGCAAAGAGAAAGAGATCTTCCATCTGTTGGTTCCCTTCCCAAGGCCACAATATCCAAGGCTGGACCAGGCTGATGCCAGGAGCCAGGAATTCCCTCCTGTTCTACCACTTGAGTGGCAGGGGCCCGAATACATGGGTCATCTACTGATGCTTTCCCAGGTGCATGAGCAGGGAGCTGGACCCAGTTAATTTATAATCACCTGTGAGGAAGGGCTAACACCTAGAAAATAAGGCAGAATACTGTAAACACAAAATACAATTAAACTGAATGAATGAATAATGGAGAATGCAGTAAGAAGTTATAACCAAGAATATAAACATATAATACAGCTTGTATAAACTTTTAAACACATTTGAAACAACATTACATCCAAATATTAAAAATAATTTTGAACTAGATGAGGAAAAAGTATTATAAATTCCTGAGGATGATTGAGATGAAAATCATATATTGGATGTTGAAAGGAAAACAAGTTTTCAGTGTTATCATCAATGTCTCTAATCTTTAAAAAACTCATAAGTAAATAGGGCAAAATTTTTATTTCAAAATTCTGTGCATTGGTTCTCAGTATATTTAAATTCAAACAAAAGAAAACTGAGTAAGAAAATTTTAATTTATCAGCTTTTATAAAGGATTGGGATACTATTCAAAACTGTAGAAGTTACAGATGGTAGAAATTCTCCCAATGCAGTTTCACTAAGATACAACTTCCAGCTGGCATCCTTGTCAGTTTTACAACCAAGTGTTCTCATGTTTTGACCTATTCTATTCAAACAAATAAACAAAATTCTCCCAAACTTAAGTTGATTATTTCACAATCACTAAAATAAGTAAAGATCTTCACAGTTTACCAGAGATGAATGTGGTCCCCTTTGTGTTTGCATCCTAAAGAAAGAATAAAGAAAGGGGTGCAGGAGCAGTGTTTAGCCTGGTGGTTTAGATGCTCATTAAGAAGTCCATGTTAGGGCTGACGCTGTGGCACAGCTGGTTAAACCACTGCCTGCAGTGCCAGCAACCCATATCGGCACTGGTTTGAGTGTCAGCTGCTCCACTTCTGATGCAGATCCCTGCTAATGCTCCTGGAAAAACAGCAGAAGATGACCCAAGTCCTTGGGCTCCTATGCTCATGTGGGAGACCCAGATGAAGCCCCTGGCCCTAGCCAATGAGGCCATTTGGGGAGTGAACCAGTGGACAGACAACCTCTCTCTCTCTCTCTCTCTCTCTCTCTCTCTCTCCCCCCTCTCCATAACTCTGCCTTTCAAATATATACCAAAAAAAAAAAACAAAACACACAAACAGAAACCTCACATCGCATACTGCATTTGATCTTAGGTTCTCCCTCCTGTCCCTCCTGACTCCAGTGTTCCTACCAATGCAAACACTGGAAGGCAGCCATGACGGCTCAAGTAATTGAGCTTCTGCCACCCACATGGGAATCGGTTTGAGTTCCTGGCTCCTGCATGTTGTGGGCATTTGGAGAATGAACCAGCAAATGGGAGTTCTCCTCACCTCCCCCAACCAGCCCATGCACACACTCTTTCTTTCTCTCAAATAAATACATAGAAAGCAGAACAAAACAAAAGGGTGTGCTTGCTCAGACCATCCCAGTTCAGCAGGGTGACAAGTAGTGCCTGCTGGAGGACAGCCCCAGGCAGTTTCCATGGAGCCTCGTCCCTCAACCGCTTCAGGATGCAGCTGTGCTGAGGATGCTCTCAGAATGGCTTTCTCTGCCTACAGAAGAGGCTCAGCCCAAAGTCTAGTTTACAATATAACCATCAACACAACTACTCTTCCCTAAAACCAACCTGCCCAGAAGCCTGGCCTTTGGACTGGAGCAATTTGCCTCATTTACCACCGAGTGTGCAGATGTGGGTCAAGGGTTCCCCCAAAAATCCCCCACCAGATATTGCTTTAAACTGTCTTTTGAAAAAATGCCTATTACATACATTTACAGAAAAAAACATTGACAATTTTTATTTCCCAAAAGATAAAAACAGGGCTGGCGCCGCGGCTCACTAGGCTAATCCTCCGCCTAGCGGCGCCGGCATACCGGGTTCTAGTCCCGGTCGGGGCGCCGGATTCTGTCCCGGTTGCCCCTCTTCCAGGCCAGCTCTCTGCTGTGGCCCGGGAGTGCAGTGGAGGATGGCCCAGGTGCTTGGGCCCTGCACCCCATGAAAGACCAGGAAAAGCACCTGGCTCCTGGCTCCTGCCATCAGATCAGCGCGGTACGCCGGCCGCAGCGCGCCGGCCGCGGCGGCCATTGGAGGGTGAACCAACAGCAAAGGAAGACCTTTCTCTCTGTCTCTCTCTCTCACTGTCCACTCTGCCTGTCAAAAAATAAAAATAAAAAAAAATAAAAAAAATAAAAAAAGATAAAAACAAAATACATTGAAGTACATGAAATAAACCAGGGACACCAAGGCTACCCCAGCCCAAAGCACAGTCGCCTGATATTTTGGTTACTTACCAGCATGATTTCCCATAAGTTTGATTTGATATTGTCATTAATGATAATACTTATTTGTTAACCAGCCAGGCAGAGTGGACAGTGAGAGAGAGAAACAGAGAGAAAGGTCTTCCTTTGCCGTTGATTCACCCTCCAATGGCCACCTCGGCTGGTGCGCAGCGGCTGGTGCACCGCGTTGATCCGATGGCAGGAGCCAGGTACTTATCCTGGTCTCCCATGGGATGCAGGGCCCAAGCACTTGGGCCATCCTCCACTGCACTCCCTGGCCACAGCAGAGAGCTGGCCTGGAAGAGGGGCAACCGGGACAGAATCCGGCACCCCAACTGAGACTAGAACCCAGTGTGCTGGTGCCGCAAGGCGGAGGATTAGCCTAGTGAGCCGCAGCGCCGGCTCCAGTAGGTTTTTTAAGAGCCTGTAGAACCCCCACCACTGGCTTCCAGAATCTCACCGACCTGAAGGTTCCTTACTTCCAGGGTGAGGCTAAAATCAAAGTTAGAGCAGGGCATTAGAGCAAAAGTTGCCCTTTCCTTACCTCTTCCCAATGCTGGACTTTCAGCCTCATGAAATTTGATTGTTCCTTTCCTTCTCAAAGTGACTTGCAATTTAATGTCGTGAAATCGTCTCTATGGGACCCAGCAAAGATTATTTGCCTTGTATAGTTTATCATGGAAAGAGCTGTGTAGCTCTCGGCGGAGGTGAGGGGTGACCAGAAAGCATTATCAAGAGCCTGTTGGTTCGATGTTTTTCCCTTCCAGTGCCTATGTGATTATCTTGAGACAGATATCTCAACAGTATGACTTTCGTGCACAGAGACATACACTGGGAATAAATGCCAAACAGTAATGAGAGGTCAAACTGTCATGCTGCTTTGAACAACATAAAAACAATTTAATAAATGTTACTCAGAAGGCACACATGAATAATCATTAGATCTGTTCGTGTGTCTGCTGCTCTCTGAAGACTCGCTTCTGTCCAGGAGCTGCTTCATCTGGAGAAACAGTCCACTGCATTGAGTTGTAGTTTCTTCCCAGGTAAGCCAAGCATTACATCTTGACTTGATAATCAGCCCTCCATGTCTGCATCAGGATGTGAGTGTTATAAATTAGGTGAATACTCCGACAGGAAGTCCTTTCAACTCAAAGAAAGTAACCAAGCACGTACTTATAACTTGAACAAACAATAATCAGATAAGCTTGGGCAATGCTGAATGTTTTCTGCCTCATTACACAGGTAGCAAAAGTGCCATTTCTTAAACTGGACATGCATGTAGATAAGTGATTTCCATCAATATAATTAACTACGATGAAGTACATAAGAATTGACAGGATTTTTTGTTTGCTTGTGTGTTTGTTTTCACCCAATTCACAAATAATCATATTTCCTCAAGCCAAGGGTTCATGATTGTTTTCTCTTCCCCCCAGTGTTCAAAGGACACTAAGTACTTGGCTCTCTAATAAAATTTGTAATGCTAGCACAAGTGTATTTCACAGAAATGATGCTGACCAAACCAATGTCATGATCCACTGACAGTAATATCTGCAGTTTGGGCCATGCTGCATCATGTTATGCAAATTGTTATGGGTCCACAGGCACATTGACATTGTGCTTCTTTTATGAACAGTGTTCCATGCTTTCAGGATGGCCAAATGAAGGAGGAGATGCTGAATGTGATAGAGAACTCTTTAATTCATCATAGGACGAGGTACACACACATGTCTGGGCTTGATGAAGCAACTGCAAGTGTATGGCATTCACTAGGCAGATGGCAGAAAGGACAACAGAGTCTTCAATCCATCTTAACACAGTTTTGGTGTGCGTGTACATTCACAAGCAGTTACAGTGATCCATCTATTTACACAGCAATTTTTCTAAATTCAACTTCTTATATCATCCTTTGCAGCAATTCCTCTCCATGAACTGGCAGCAAAAGCCACAACATGGATTCAACCCTTTCAAGAAGCTATGATTTGAAGGACCCAGTGATTGCTGATCAATAAATCAATCAATCAATTTTTCAATGAAAACAGACATGATCCTGCCCTCAAAACATTTGCTGCCTAGTGAGACAGACACTCATGGACTAATCGCATAGTACATTTTAAAAACTGTGACAAGACCCATGCAGAAAACATGCAGGGAATCTGAGGGCTTTAGCAAGATGGCCTGCCTTGGTGAGCAACGTCTGAGGACGTCTGCCTCAGTAAGTAGCTTTCAGCACGAAATCTAAAGAATGGGGGGGTTAACTGGGGAAGGGAGAAACAAGAAGGTAAAACATCATATACAAAGACCCTGAGGCAGGTGGGAGATGGTGTATTTAAAGACTTAAGAAAGATCCTGAGTCTTTTGCATACTATACGTGGAAGTAGAGATGCCTGTAAGACAGGATAGCAGTCAGGTACATGGTTACCATCCTATAATCTTATTATGCCCAATACTTCTGGAATGCCACATTAAGGAAAACATACAATCTTGCTCTTACATCATCAGGAAAAATTGGCCAGAGGATAGTGTGAAAGGTTTTTATAGTCTTTTATCTCTCTGGTCTCCTTTCCATGTAGTGGAGTGTTCTCCAGTGGGTACACATGAGCCTTTAATTTGCAGGCTTCTCTCTTCTTCATCTTCACAGGATCCCAACCTCACTTTGGAAGGGTAGGCATTCCATAGCTTCGCTCTTGACTCCGTCTCAACAGAAAGATGCCAGGACCTTATTAAGCAGAACCAGAGAGGCCTCGTGGTGGGAGCTCCTTTAGGAAGATACTTCACAGTGCAGTGTCTACAAGGTGAACAGAACTCTGTCTCAGTATTGACCAATCTCCACAGTAGGGCTTCAATATATTTATACTAACAAAATCTCTAAGCAAACAGAACTTAACACAAGGACACTGTCTTGTTTATATTAAACCACCCTTGAGAAACTGCTGAGAATTTTGCTAATTGAAGAACAAGAGAAATTTTGCTTGGTGAAGAGCCAGAGAAACTCTGAACCTCACATGATATTTTTCCTAATGAATCAAGGAAGCAAAGGCCCAAGAAATGGAAACCTTTTTCCAGTCCAGCTCCAGATTAAACTCCTCTGATGTACTCCCCTGGCTTGCATTAAGAGTGACCATGTTTGAACGCAAAGACATCACTGCACTTGTGTGAGTGTTTCCATAAGGCATTTTCTCTTCTGTATGCCCAGGGAGGCTATTCCCAGAAAGCTGAGTTTCCCACCTATTAACAGGTTAAGCAGAAGTAAAAAGAAAAACAAACCCCAAATGCACTGGAACTGGGTGAGATCAGGTACTTCTATTCTGTCTGCTATTTGTGTGTGTTGATCCCTCTGAGTATCACAAACCCAGTGAAGACCCTCGAGGTGACCGCTCATAAATGGGCTACATGACTGTCTGTACTACAAGATAGCTGCTCTGAGGAGTAAGGACTGGACACCTCCCTGGCTTCGAAGAGGAACAAAACTTCTCAAAATAATCCAGAATCAGGGCACAGCTGCCCCAGCAGAACTCCTGGAAGAGGGACTTGAGATGGAGGAGGCCAATCCCACATGATGGCTGGGAAGAGAACCTGAGAACAAACTTTTCTGACAATGTTAGAGGGAGGCCTTCCATGAAAATTCTGGGCACTGTGCACGTGCAAATCTGGAAGCTTCCCATCTCGTGAAATTGTTCCCCGACTGCTCCTAGCAATCAGCAGAGCCTTTCCTCCAGGCCAGGAGCACAACAGGTGCACTCTCTGCACACTGTTCAGCTGTCCTCTGTGTGCTCCAGCCCCAGCTTCTCCTTGTTCGCCCCTGGAAGCTGGCAGACAGGAGCAGGGCTTAGCTTTCTGTACCAAGGTCAGCACATCCAAGGACAAAGACAGACATGCCATAGCAACACAGTCACTGGTCCAATTGCAGCCTCAGTCCAGCTCTGATGCCTCCATGGCTGCTCCTCCTGCCTCCCTCCACACTCCCTAGCCTGTTCATTTCATCAACCAAACTGGGAAATTCCTGGGGACACAGACCACATTATTCATTTTCATGGCATTTGGAAACTTCAAGGGCTCAGAGAATAATTGTTTGGTTGAATACTACTCTGGTGCTTTTCAGGAAGGATATTCAGAGACTGATTAACATTAACTTCAAAGAGAGATGCTAGGAGTCAGTGGGTGGGGCACAGGAGAGAGACAAAATTACTTTTCATATCATCCTTTTTTCTATTGTTAGGATTATTTTGCCACATGAATATACAATATTAAAAAAATAAAAATAAACAAAAATTTAAAAAAAAGATACTTTCAGTCACATTCATTTTAGATACTATACCTATACTATGACACTTATGCTATGAGATGCAAGGAAATAAATAGTAGGCTTTGAGGATTTCAGTTGGGAAAGTTAGTGATTAAAACCAGGGCATGAGAAGGAAGTGCTTTTCTAGAAATGCTTTCACCAGCCCTTGTGTCTCCTAAGGCAGATGCTTCCAATCAACAGTATAGGCTTATAACCATATGGCACACAAGTTACAGACCCAGAGACCACCTGCAAGTCTCCCTCAACCCAGCATCCCGGTCTGATCTCATGAACTGATTGGAGTGGACCTGAGATAGGAAGCTTGCACACTGTGATGGCTCAGAGTAGCAGCAGCCCCCTTTGAATCACACTCATGCCAACGACTGTATCAGAGAGAGCTCGGTCAAGACTCAAAGGGGCAATTCAGGTGACCCAGCACACAGTGAAATGCCAAATCAGACTGCAGTTATAATGTGTCTGCAGATGAAAGTGATCCTCCTGAAAAGAAATATTTCTTTCGAAGATGATACTTTGGGCCTACTGGTTGGCCGCCCCCATGCCTGGGTGCACTCCTCCTTGGTGGCCAGCAGGCTGTGGCCCCCAGGGTGCAATGCTGCCTCACACCATCAAATCCTCAAGATGCCTTTTCTGTAAGGAAAAAAAAAAGTTTCTGTCCTACAAGGCCATCATTTTCCAGTTCCCATTGTCATTTCTCAAACTATATGTGGTAATCTCATCAGAGACACCATAGGGTGCTAATAAAAAATAATCTTTTCAATATGTTCATTTAATCCCATCATGACCAAAGGCTGAGAAATGCTTTATAAGAAAAATCGTTACTGCTAGAGGCCTGAGCTGTCTGTGGAAGTGGCGTAATTTATCTGCTTGCCAAAACAAGGCAATCCTAAATCTCCTGGAAGTAGTAGAGGAAAATCATACGGCAATCCAATCCCAGTATAAAGGAAAATGGATTATTTATTTGTCTGAGAGGTCACAAATATGTGGCTTGCTCCAATCAGCTGGGATAATTGAGCCAACCTAGATGAGGTTCCAGTAAGCCCTTCAATGGAGTGAACAACCTTTGAAAAGGCCTGAACAGTTCCTGACACCATGAGAAAGGAAATCTCCAGTACACATAAAGTGATTGAGCCACATATTCCTCTATGAAGCATCCACCATGTACCAGTCACTGTGCTAAATGCTAGTCACGGCCTTTGCATGCCAAACGTTTGCACTCTAGGAACTCAAGTAAGTAATTACAGGACAACGCAAAACAACAGAAGACTAACATTAGGACCAGGCAAGGGAAGGCCAGAAATAGGGGAGATCAATGTGAAACAAGAAGCTAGAGAAGCTTCCTGGACCAGGTGGGTCTCAAAGACAGTGAGAGTTGAACAGGTAGAGACTACAGATAAATGCATTGTTCATGGAGAATTAGCCCCTGGAAGGGCATGGTGGTGGGAACGGACCAGGCTCATGGGTTTGGAAAGGAAATAAATAAGGTCAGGCAAAGCTGTTTGTGGTGCTTAATAAAAAAATTGAACCAAGTTATTGAATTATTTGACAATTAAGCAGCCCAGAAGTGGTGGCAATGTAAACCAATACAACCTATGGTCTTGGAATTCCTTCAGTGCTAAGCACATTTTAGGCCCAACCTGTTATCCTTTGCCCCCCAACCTCCACCATTTTTTGTACCAATAAACGTAAGAGCAGTTCACTACTTCGGATTTTGCCACTCTATGAACTATTTTAAAAATCTAGGTCTCGTACCACCACAGGGCTCCCAAAGCCACAGAATATACCCAGTGGTATAGAGCAGATGAAGAAGATGTAGACCGTTTTGGTCTAACTAATCCATGTTGGATATCAGCTGCTGACATGGGCCAATCAATGCACCACGTCAGGAAATCTTTACAGCATTCCAGCAATGTTGGTTCCCTGTTTTCAAATTTAAAATGTGTAGCCTAGTAAGCTTAGATAATTTAAGAAAAGTCACGTAATTAGTGAGCAGTGTGCATACATCTCTCCCAGGGCTGTGTGACCCCAAGGCACCCTCGAGATGGAGCAGAGCTAAACCTGAGTAAGCCTCTTCCAGATCACATGAGCGGGGCTGGCTTGTCTGTTGTGACACTGAAGACACCAGTGGGTTGCCCATAAAGATCAGTTAGGACTACCCAGGTTGGGATTCTCTCTCCCTAATAAAAACTAAACACGTTCTCTTGCTCTATTCATTCATTTCACAGAAAAGATGTTGTTAGATACCAGGAACTCATCGGCTCAGGGAAAGAGCCATGGGCAATGTGGTGCCCTTACCATCAGTGTGTACCTTCCCAAGAAGAGGAAACGAACGCTGAGGGAGAGGTAATGATCTGTCTGCACACCGTGTAACCATCTATGAGCAATTATTTACATTGCATCATGTTCCCATGAGGAAAAAATGCTAACATAAGCATAATATGAATATAGGAAAAAAACACAGTTGCAGATACAGTATAATAACTAGAATTTTCAGGTGTTAGTAAAAGGCAACATTAGCTCATAGAAATGATGTGGTGTGTTTCTTGTTCAGATTCTTTTTTGCATTTTGCATACTTTCCTAATCTGCTCCCAAGACGTGTGGGATCTGATCTTTCCTTTGGGTTAGGACAGAAAATGAAATCTCAAAGTTCTCTTATTTTCAGGCTGTAATGACCCAAGATAAAAGTTTTACAACTGTCAACCTAAATAAAAAAATAAGCAGAGAGATATTTTCCAAAGAATCGTGTTTATTTGCAATGGGACTAGCAGAGCATTGCAATGGAAACACACAGACCAGAGTAAACGACGGACAGAGTCCCAGGAGGCCAGCAGTTTTCAAAAGCAAAAATGAGGAGGATTCCAGATATCTGAAACAGTAATCGTCAGCCACCGTGATTACAAAGCAGGGTGACAATGGGCTGAGGCTGTGAGACAGTTGCTGGGGAGCTGTCCTTGTGGAAACACTATTTGATCAGATTGTTGTGGCCCCTGTGTGGGGGCAGCGTCTTGTGAAAGTTCCTCTTGGGGAAATGCCCGTGAGAACTCTTCCTTCTCTGCTGTTAGGGTTGGCATAACTGACTCCATTTTGACCCTGACAACTTTCACGCAGCCACACCCCACCTTCAAGTTCAGTTTTCTATTCCAGCCACTGTCTGGCTGCCTGCAGCATTTGATTCAGGGCAAGGAGCCTTTACTCAACTCAGTGACCTGCAAAAGTAAACACCTGCTCCCCTCTCTGGCAGACAGCATGCTGTCAGTACTGCTGGGGACAGAGAGGATAGAATCCTTCAAGGTTCATGTTAGCTTTGCAGGCTGTTCTTCAAATGGACTTCTCCATTTCCTTAGAAAGTCATTATTTTATTCTTCCCTCCCCCACCCTGATTCTGTCATATCTTCCTCCCAATTCCACCTTCCACATCGTCTATAAAATATGACCCTGGCTTCTTGGGATCCCTAACACTTCAAAGGGCTTCAGTCTGAAATCT